TATATATTATTATTCACAATTAAAGGAAACATGAAATAAAAGTCTATTTTTTCTTTTCTTTTTTTCCCAAACTTTGAGGAATTTATTCTGTTTCATCTACATATTTTACATCAGGTCTTTATAAGACAACATCTGACTAATGCTAAAGTCTTCATGAAAGAACTAAACATCTAATGGCACAACATATATTATTTAAAGTAAAACTATCTTTTTTTGGCTGTCTGCGTAACTCCACTACCAGGTCTCTGATTGGTAGGATCAAATGGATATGTCTTTTTGATTGGGCCTGTTCCAGCCTTACGGAACTGTATCTCATCAAGTTGTCTGCGATCTTCCATGTGACGGATTTCTCTAGAAGTTTTCATGGCTATAGAGAAAGAGCATGATAGTTTTTGTTTACTTCTATCTTAAAATTACATTTGCAAACATTCAAAATATTCTAATAAATACCAATTAAGACACACAAAAATTATATATTATTAGTTTCAAAAAGTTGCTTCCATTTTGACTAATTAGCAAGTGACATCATTAAAACTTGAAAATGTTTTCAGTTAACTTGCTTAAATTTCCTCTATTATTTAAGACAATATTTAGTACAGTCTAAAATCAACTTAAATGTTAGCATTTAATAAAACAAATTTAAAAGCTATTGGTACAAACAAATGTTAATTAAAAATAAAAAGGAATATCTGCAAGTATCTAAATTAATGCTATTTGTTTTCTCACTCTGACCTTAACCTCAACTAGTTTTGGTGTTGGCTGGTATTTTTGAAAGTCAAAAATTTTTTACATTCAGATTGCTAGCTCAGTCGGCAACCATATAGGAGAAGCACGTCTGGCAATGGGGATTCAAACATGTGTCCCTCAGATTGTGACTCGAGTACCTTAAACACAAGGCCATGCCAAGCCAATTAATGCTGTAATACGTGTGTGTTTATGTACATATAGCATTAATTTTATGTTCATATGCAATGTTATAAAATGAAAATCATCCTTCCTAAACTAGAATTTCAATCGTGTTGTTTAAATTTAAGCACAGTGGACAGTGTATGAAAAAATACCCCAAAATTTAAAGCAACATCTTGTTAGCTCCCTAAGCTATTTTACAGCTATGAACACTTCGAGTACAGCACAAACAGAACAGCCAAAAAACACAAAATTAAATATTTACAGGATACTATACCAAATATAACTTTTATAGAAGAACAAAACAGGTGAAACAAGTTAAAACTTTCTGTAACAAGGAAATCGAAAAATCAATAAAATAAGAAACATTATGTAACAATAAAATGTGTCAACAGACGATAATTAATGTTGGTGAAAAGTATTACATTACCTCTTCTTCTGATTAATACATCTAAATTTTGCAACATAAATGCAAAATATAAAAGCTATGTCTAATTAAGAATACATCTGAATTTTATTGTGCAAGTTTAAGCAATTTTACCATACAAGACTATAGGAATAGAAAAATCAGATTATATTTTAATAATGTCATGGTTAATAAAAAATTCCTAAAATCAGATATAGATGTAAAAACACTTATTTTTCAGTGTAACTAAAACTTTTTCAAACAGTTTCTTCAGTTTGCAAATTTTACTCAGAAATTGGGTTTTGAACAATATATATATTTATTTCTGAATTTAACTGGTTGCCAATAATAACTGAAGTTTAGGTTTTTAAGTCTTTTGGAATTTTAACTACAAACAAATTAGGTTACAGAACAGAAACAAACAACTGAAGTCTGAAGTTACTGGTTCAGTATACACTGTCTGTAGCTCACTAGTCAATTGGCTAAGAACAAGTGTATATCAAATACATTTTACAATGATAATAGATTACAGGTCAATACATTAAGAGGTTAGATACTCATATAACTTTATAGCCTTAAGGTAGAATCTGTTTTTTTTGGAGTATCAAATATATATACATCTTGATACAATTTTTAAGTAATGCTGAAAATGGGACCTTTGATCATGAAAGAGATAGTGAAATTTCTTTTTATATATTTTGAGATTAATTCGAAAATACTCACACCTAAATTCAAATGTTTAACATAAACCATGCTGGTGCATCAAGATATCATCGACAATAGCCTTCCACCAATAGGAGGACAACACAACTTTCATGTGCAGTAATCCCCCTTTGCAGTTGCACTCATGGAGATTTCATTCTTAGATGAGGCAAGTAAAAAAAAGGTGCACCAGAAGCGGGAAGCATGGATAGGAATGTGTGCGGAGGTTAGTATCTATTGGAAATACATTCAGATTAGGAAAATGTTAACTTCCAAGAAGATAACTCACATCTGCACAAAGAAATGCTAGAATACCATACTGAAGTGGTGGAGAGGCCAGTGCAAAAATTAAACATAGTCAAGCTCTCTTTAGAAAGCCCCTAAAGGGAAAGCCCATGGAGTATGACACCTGATGGCTGGCGAGCCAATATGTATAATGTGGTTGAGGCACAATCAGACCCGAAGATGTGTGCTCACCTTGACTCTTCTCGACAGGCTCAGGATGCAGGAGGATGGCACATTAGCTGTGTGAGGGGTGGCCCATACTACACTGACAGTGTGACCAATGTCTTACTTCTCACTATATTGTTCTAAGGTTGTGAGTATTCTCTATGGTAAACCACCCCAGTGGCTATAAACTGGTAAGTGACAAGGGCCTCCCATGATACATCTGAAGAAGGGGTGGGGTGATTTCGCACCGGAGAGACCCAGAGAAGTGCTCGGATCATCAGTGGACCACCAGCCAGAAAGGGCTTTTACTGGAAACAATGCAATGGGTGACCATAAAACCCTATTTTTAAAAGTAGGCAAACCCAAGCCAAAGAAGTGGGCAGTCACTTCCCTGGTGCTGGCTTTTTCCATGATAGTCCATGGAATTGGTATGGTCTGGATTGGACAATTAAGTAAATTAGTTTACGACAAGGGTACCTTAAGTGGTCTTACAGAACACCCCCCATCTCATAGTGGGCAATAATAGAGCCAGGGCAGATGGGCTGAACACTCTCCGTTATCTTGGATCAATGCAGATTTTGTGAAATAAGCATACCATGGGAGGCAACACCAGTCATTTGGTAGGATACCGTTTGACAGAATGGGAAAAATACATACCCATTTTAAAGATAATAGGTTGATTGAAGTATGGTGTGAAAAATTGTAGAATAAAATATAAAAAAGACCAAAAAGTTGGAATATTTTGCTGTGGAACAATGCTACAAAAATTAAATAGAAGGAAAATGGCCTATAGCTCATAACAAGCTATAAACATGATCAACCTGGACAGTGTCACCATTGCCAATGACACTATCCAATATCAAAGGTAAACCCTTAGAAAAAACATGTCTAAAATGGTGCCACCATTCACAGTCATAGAAATGGCATTAAAGTAAAATGTGGGCAATAACAACTTGAGTGTCACAAAGGCCACAGACTGGCAAATCTGTCCCCTGCAGAAGAAAACAATGAGTCATGAAACTGTGGCCAATGCATATCTTAGACAAGACAACTTCCTCCTTCTGATCCTTACTGAAACTAGATGGCCAAACAACAACAATGTGCTTTATCTGGAAAAAAGCTTGTTGTGGAATTGCTCACTCCAAGTCGACTACCAACTGGAGTGAAGCTGTGCCTTGATCACAGGTTTACAAGCTTGGAGTTAAGAGGGGTGGCAGGGCATTTATAAGGAAGGGACATACCCAAACAAGAGCAAACCAAATGAAAGATCTGGGTAGAATGCAGTTCAGTCACGAGAGGTAGTCCACCCTAAAGTTCACAACTCCCAGTACATGATGGGGTAACAAGACCAATCCAATACGAATGAGCCCAGAAGAGTAGTTCCAATGTCTGAAAACAAAGGGTCCTGAAACAGGTATCTTTGATGGTTGATGTAAGAAATTACCATGGAAATGTTGAAGTGGATCATGACCAATTGATACACCAAAAGGGACATGAAATGGAATCATGCCAGACAAACAGTGAGAAGTTTGAGTATATTGATGTGGAGTGAAAGTCCAACGTGCGACCAAAGCCAGAAGTCATGTCATCATCCAGAGATATGCCTCAACCCAAGAAGGAAACATCTGTAAAGAGACTGATATCCAGTTTGGGGGTTGGTAAGGATGAAAAAGACCATAAATAGGGTCGAAGGGAAAAGAAAAGGTAATAGGAAGAGGAGTAAAGAGAAATGGGGAGAGAGACTGTGGGAGAGAACAGAAATCAAGACCAACATCTGGTGAAGAGGAAGGGACAGGAACCTATAGGGCCTGACAAGACAAGATAGCTACAGACAAGAAGAACAAAAGTACCAAATGTTGAGTAGATATGAGAAAGGATTTCAATATCTTGACAAGCCACCCCAACTAAGTAGCCTCCTGCAAAAGAAGGGAAGTGTGAGAAGAGGATACCTTCTGAGAATGAGCCAAGAGAAGCCAATCAACCAAGAAAGGGAAAGACATCCCCAGGCCACAAAAACCCTTATGATACAAATAAATAAAAAAAGGGGTCCAATGCTATGTTGAAAGAAAGAGCAAGGAATTGAAAGACACAAATCTGATGGACAGAAGGTAGAAACCATCTGGAGGATGGGGCAATAGGAATGTGTTTGATGCATCAGCCATGGCCATCTGCAGACTGGATGAAAAAGACCATAAATTGGGTCGGAGGGAAAAGAAAAGGTAATAGGAAGAGGAGTAAAGAGAAGTGGGGAGAGAGACTATGGGAGAGAACAGAAATCAAGACCAACAACTGGTGAAGAGGAAGGGACAGGAACCTATAGGGCCTGACAAGACAAGATAGCTACAGACAAGAAGAACAATGAACCAGACATTGGGTGGTGGAAGGATGAAAAAAGAAGGGCTGGAACCAGGAATGAAAAGGGTAGATCACATACATAAGAAAAAAGAAAGTGTACAGTATAGAGGAACACAACTTGATCCAATGAGTCCCAACGGCAGGAGAACTAAGGAAATAGGGATAGAGCAGAAGAAGTAGAACAGGCTAAGCTAGTAAAGAGAAGGGAATGAACCTCTTCAGAAAACCCCTCTGGAACACAATGAAGTGCTTCAGACAAAACGTGGAAGCAGGAGAGAATACAGGAGGATGGTGAGAAAAAGACACAAAAATGGGGGAACCAGAGAGCAAAATAGAAGGCAAGGGGCCCAATCTCCAAACAGGCCTAATAGGTACTAAACACAGGCAATCTGGAAAGGAAAGGAAGAATGTTTGTAAGTCAGGAAAAAAAAGTCATAAATGAAAGGAGTATGAAGAATGTGAGTGTGAGTGAGAGCTGTTAAAGAAAGGAAACAATAACAACAAAGCAGGAAAGACAAAGCAATCCCAAGAATTGGGTTCATGGAGTGAAGAATGGGCAATAAGAAAGGATACAGGCAAAAGATAAGAAAAGGAACATACTTGAGAATGGTATCCAGAAAAAGATAGGAATGTTAAGGTTATTCCTTGAATGGTAAGGCACTACCCAAAGCAAATCATGTTAAATTCATAGTCCAATAGGCCATTCACAACTGAGGAGAAAGAACATCAGCTAAAGGAACAGAAGTAAGAAGCCTAGTAAGCAAGTGGTAATCCAGAACATGTTGAACAAAGGCTGAAATGTCCCAAACAGTTAACAAGCCTCCAAAAGCCAAATAGAGATAAGGGCTGTGTGTGAAAATCATCACTCACACAAGTAGAAGTCACCATCAGTTGAAAATTCAAGATAATAATCAACACTTTTGAAACAAAAGTCAATGGAAAATGAAACCAAAGTTTTCATTAATGAATGCAAGTCTCATCAAATTGAACTCAGATGAGAAATTTGAACAATATAAAGGAGAGGAAAAGAATGAATTTTTCACAGGTACAAGTGTAAATGGTTCTTATTCTGAATATAATAATATATTCAAAATGTTGAAGGAGAAATCAGTCTGTTCTTGTATTATTAATATGAAACACAGATTGAATTACATACACTCATCAATTACAGATTTCAAAACTTAATAGCTTACATTCTTTCAGCCCCTTTACAAAACCTTTCTTCTTCATGGGTAAACTAGCTGGATCATGGCGCACTAACTTAGGAATTTTAAAGAAATCACGAACTGGCCCAGTCCTTAGAAGTCCAACTTGTCCAAGTGATATAAGATTACTTGTTGTCCAGTAGCACAAGACAGCCTGAAACACAAGAAATATTAACTTCATATGACATTAAGACAAACATAAACAAGTGTTCCATGAAAAGTTGATTATTTTTAACTGTAAGAAATCACTTGTTCTAAGACTTACTTCATCAAAACAATGATACAATGAAGAAGAAACTACTTCATCCCAAAGCTAATGAGTAACTTACAGAAAATAGTTTCTTTCTAAACAATCTAAAATAACCATCTATGTTCCCAGGTTGGCGGGCCTAGGGCCAAAATGGTGAAATGGGGTACTCCAGCAGATCTGCTGCCTGCAACTGTCATGAAAGACAGACAATACAACATCTACTCATCTGCCCACAACTTCAGATTCCATGCACAGCAGAAGATCTAGCTATAGCTAATGAACATGCAATTAGATGGAAACTATACAGGGATAGGTGAACATGACAAGAAGAAGACTCTTTCAAACTATCTATGTCTTATCACTCAAATCTCTTGCATCTGAGGAAATTAATATTAGTAATTATTTTGAATTTGCCTATGAAATAAATTTCATACATTCATTTTTAAACTATTATAACTTCCCTCTTTACCAATACTCCTGTCCAAGAAACTGTTGATACCTGCATATCAAATCTTTTGAAAGAGAACCTTTCAGTCCTTGAGGAGTAAACAAAGATGATTTCAAACTGTTCCTACAACTTGCTATTACAAACACACATTTTATCCTAAATCAAAACCTATAAGTACAGATAGAGGGCATTGTTATTGGGTTACCACTTGGTCTAACCCTGGATAGTACCTTTCTTTGTCACCATTAATGCACATAGCTGAATAACATCCCACCAAATTTAAACCTGTACTTTTAAAATAATAATGATACTTTTCCTATAATTTGTTCTTATTTCCTTATTTCTTAATTACTTAAACTCACAATATGTTAATACTAACCTTACCCATGAACTTGAACAAAATTATTCCCTGCCTTTCCTTGATATTCTAATCACACATGGCATTAACAATTCATTAACATTTGTTTACCAAAAAGTACTTTGATCGCTTTTGTCAACTTCATATCTATAAACTACATTTAAAATCTTGTACTTTGTCTTCTAGACTATGCTTTTAAAACCTACTCCAACTATCAAGCTCTAAATAAAGAAACAGCTTTTATATAGAATATTATACAACAGAATGATTTTTCTTAAAACCTACTAAATAAAATAACTTGTACTTTCCCAATAATGAAATATGAATTACACCCAAAAATCGCAACTGTTCAATGCTGCCCTCTCACTCTAAATTTTTCCAAATTTTTTCTTGGGCAAGTTTTAAATTATCTTGTGAAAATAATTCAGTGTCCAGCCCATGTGACAAAAATGAATTACTTTACTTCCTCCTTTAACATTCTACAAATTTTAACACTCGCATATTGTTGTAAATTGATGTAGGTTTATGTTACAAGTGACATTAACTAATGCAAAACATATCAACTTACTTCTAAGAAGTAACTGCAATAGTTAATATACTGACTGGTTCATTCTCTATTTTTAAAATCACTCTCATGTCACAACTACCTCACATTTATAATCTAGCTTTGAATATGCCAGAACACTTTACACCACATCTTAGAGTATTCTAAATGTTTTAAGCCTATCTTATTAAACTTTTTGAACTTAATTTCATCATTAAGATCGGAGGCTCCCTCTAACTAACATTAAAGTTACAATCATGATGTTAGAAAAACACGTAGTTTCAAGAAGTGTTGATAACAATGAATAAAAACCATATTACCCGAGCACTTTCGAAAGGTGGAAGTTTCTTCTTCTTCTGGGGCAAACATTAGAAATATAGCTTACAACAATGGTAGAATTTAAAAAACAAATTTGGTAAAATAATTTTACCCCAGGTTAAACTGAGAATAATATTTAAGTCTACCTCCAATAGAACAACTTCTTTAAATTTACAAAACCACATTCTCATCATGGATAATTTATGTTTATAAGTTTGGTAGCTGCCATTCTACTGATATTCTAAAAAGAACTTGCCATCGAATCCTTAAGCACAAATAGATTTTCTTATGTAAACTCTCTAATCTTTTAATTCATTTGCATTGTGATGACCTGAAACACACTTTCTCTGATAACAGCTTCAAAATCTTAACATGTCAATCCGACTTTGAACTGTAAATTAACGAAACACTTCCTAATAAAAGAAAAAGCCTCAACTTTAAATAACACAGTCAGTTTCATTCTCTTTTAACCCCATATGTAGCACTTAATTATACTGTTACAGTTCATATGCTCTATATTTTTATTAACAAATTTCCTGAAAAAGTTATTATGCACCGAGAAACAAAATGCAATACTTAATTTATTGTTTTGAAATAATTATGTTGATGATGGAATTAATAACTTCTGAAATGTTCAATGATAATAAAAATGACGTTCAACAAAAATAAAAAGTTACGGTCATTGCCTGTGTGGTCATCTTATTTATCATGAGACTATGATTTCTGCTTAATGAATCCACTATGTAAACAACTTTTAACTTAACTTTACATAAGCTTAGTTTCAAAAAGCTGAAAATTTTTATCAATGAAACTAACATATATGAACAAACTTTTAATAGATTGTTATTATTTTATAGCACAAAACTACACAGTAGACAATCTTTGCTCTCTCCACCACAGGTAATCAAACCCCAGATTTTGGTATTGTCTGTTAACTTACTGCTATCCCATTGGTGGACTCTTTTAAAGGAAAATAGCACGTTTTTATAAAGACTAACAGTGTGAATGTCTATAAAATTTCTAAAATGCACTGTAAATTTTATTCTTGTGTGGTTATTAAAATATTTTCCTTATAAAATCAACTAGTTTACAAACACATCTGGTTTTCTTGTTTGTTTTTAATTGAATTTCCAAAACAATTCGTTAGTTTACAATCTGATACATTTCCTTAGAACAAATTATCATTTGTCTATGTAACAGTGGAAAAGCTAAATGTTAAAACATAAGTTATTTTTTGTCATGTGAAGTTATAATTTCATCTAAAAATTAAATAAAGCTCATGAGATATTTTGTTTTCTGAATTTATGACAAATTTTAAGCAATTTAATATGAAGCATCAACATAAAAAAACTTGCATTATTTCAAGGTAATTTCGTAGCTGTTTTTTGTTGTCTAATACTTTCAATGTCAACAGAAAATAAATTTCTTTCACTTAACAATATCAAAGCAATTGTTTGCATGAGTCTAGTTTCTTACTTGTAAACGTAACTAAATTTTCCTAATAAATTCCTACACACCAAAAAAAAAAAAAATCTAAATTTTAACATCATTTCTGAAATAATCAGTATGTGAAATAAGTTACTAAAGATTCAAAATTGTTTGCACTTTAATTATTATTTCAAACGTATTAGCTCAAATTATTTAACACAGCCAAAATTATCTGAAGATAATGATTGTGGCTATGGATCTTAACTATTCTCATTAAAAAGAATAAACTCCTGGTTAAAAAAATAAGACATTTTAGTCAAAACAAGAAGAAACTGAAGGAATTATTTTTTACTGATAAATCATTTCTCTATATCAGGCATGATCTTTAAGGAATTTAATCACTGAACACTGTAAAAAATGTAACAGGTTAAATTTACAGATCATCCAAAACATTAACAACTTACTGCAGGAAAGTTTATAGAAAATGGTAAAACAACCAGTGGCATGGCTCTCAAAAAATATCTCATAAGATGTAAACTGTCACTTCTCAGTCCTCCTTCTGCTCCAACCTGAAGAACAAAGATGATTCCCAAACATTTATATCAATAATACAAGTTTAACTACAACTATCAATGAACATGGTTAAACATTTCAGAAAATCTTTGCTTAAGATTAATTTTTGACGATTATTAAAACGGTATACTTGAATTATGTTAGTATTCAATATAAAAGATAACAGATATTCTTAAAAACGTGGGAAGTTTATGACTGAAAATCTTTCAAATTACAATCTTACACTTCAGAGATACTGTGAGAGAAATATCAATGTACAGACACTTTGAAAACAAAGTCACAAAATTAAACCAATTTTAAATTAAAACAGATATTTGAAGTCCTTTCAGGATATATATGTCTTCCTCCATGAGGATTAAACAGGAAAATGCCAAAAATCTGATATTTTATCATGTGATTCTCAGTAATATCATGATGAGAAGCATTAGTTTCACAAATGTCTCATACTGCCAAAATACAAGTGTTGATGTTGGTATGAAATTTATGACAGTGTAGAAGAAGAAAAATAAGCATGGGATGTAAAATAATTAATATTATAGGTATTAGATATAAAGAAGTTAGTAATTCAGAAACCTAAAGGAGACTGTAGAGGATACCCGAGATCTAAAATAAGGATTTTGTGTTAATAAGCACTCAAACAGCCTTACAATACTAAGAAGTATTTGGTATCCATAAATTTGAATAAACTGAGAATGTAACACAACATAGGTTTGTTGAAGATATAAAAAAAAATTAAGCTAAAATTAGAAACACAATGTGTGTGTGAATTATCAGTAATTATACTACACAGCCACAAAGAACAACATAAATATAGGTAAACCAGTAAATGTAAACAGATGTTATATGAATAAGAGTTAGTTTCTACTTCAATAAATGTATAGAACAGTGTTTCTCAAAATGGTGGAATGTGACCCCCAAGCAAATGTCAAGCAAGTTTCCAGGAGGGTCACAAGCTATCTCTGCTGAGTCAACATTTTTTTTTTCAGTCCTTGAAGTGTCCAAGAGGTGCATATATTGCCTTTGTTATGAACTATGATGAACAGCGCTATGAAACATCAATAATTTTTTCATCCTTGTAGAGATGATTGGGGGGGGGTCGTCTGGCAAATCTGGCTGAGAAATGCTGCTATAGAATACAGTGCAAATATGTTAAATTCTACAAAGATAAAAAATATAAAATAAATACAATCAAAGTTTCACATAAATGATGACAGAACACACTTCAAAATTAATAAACCATCAACACAACACAATGATCTTAACTTTCACACAAGATACCAAGAATATTATTTTGCACAAATATTTGTTAAGTTCACTCACCTCAATAATTATAGATAATGTAACACAGGTTATGATTGGTAGCCCATACATTGGGTCAGGAACAGTCAAATCAGTAAACCACAGGGTTCCTCCTGTCTTCATGCTCTCCAGCGGAAGGTTAGCCATTTTTCGAAGAGCCATGAAAAATGATATAAAGACTGGTGCCTGATAATTAAAAATAAATACTTTATTAAAGTGAGCTCATCATTCCTACAAGTTTATACCCATTACCATAGAACTGTAATTATTTGTACATAATCATATATATATATATATATATGTGTACATGTCTTGATTTCTTTTTCATCCTCCTGTTTGTGAAACATGTTTTTTCTAATTTATTTATGAAACAGACTGCATGTGGGTCCATGACTTCATTGGTTGCAAGGTCATACATAAAATACTATTGTTATCACAACTAATCCCAATAATTACTACTGGAGTTTCTTTATATATATTTTTCACTTACAAAATGAATGATTTCATCAAATGTACTTGGTCACTTCTTTACACCAAGTATTGTAACAGACAAAAAATATAAAATGACTCGGTATGATGCAATATGTGGACTTCCATCACGAGGCTGTAAATAAATATGTTTTCTTGGCAGGACATATGTCTTACCAGGTTATCATTCTGATTGGACAGATTAGTTCAACATAAAATATGTTTACTAAACTTGTATGTGAAAACATGGAGATTGCATTATTACACCTTATAATAAAAAGTTGCCCACAATTTATACACACTGGCATTTATTTCTGGAAAATAGGCATTTAAATTATAACTATAGAATTGTGAGAGAAAACTCTATAATATGAACATACTATTCTATATTCAGTGTATGTATATATGAAAATAAAAAGTAGTAGTAACTGATGCAACCGTAGTTTCATACGTTTTTGTATCTGAAATCCTTGACATGTTTAATTTTATTGTTCATTAATTAACTTACAGGTTATGAGCCTTAAATATCTTTTATGCAATTGATTGATATGAATTTGAAGGCCCCTTTTAGTTAGACTTATTTTAACAAGAAAAAATCAGTTTTGTACGTGAAGAGCACGATCGCTCTAATCTTAATCTGTTCCTAATATCAACTATTATTATTGCTAACATGACTTCAGCATAAGAGATTTTCCTACCTGTACTAAAGGAACTATCATATTCTTCAGAGGATTAATTTTGTTTTCCTTCATGAATATCATCAGCTCATTTGAATATTTGGCAGCTAGAGAAAGGATAACTTAAGTTACTTGAAGAGCCTTAGATGCTCTTAAAATAGATACAAACTCAACATTATTAATCTACTCTTCTGTGTTGCACTATTTAAACTGATGTATTTATCGGCTAATCTCAACTTTGAGAAAGTAAAATCAAGAAGTTCTGGTTTATAAACATACATAACTCAAAATTTGAATTACAATATATAAACATATTATGGTGAACCTAACAATTCAAAAAAAGGCAAAAATATCAAATATCATATTTGCTGTTAAAAATACTGTCTTTCCCAAACAATTAAACCCTATATATTTCATAATAAAACAGGGTTCACTTGTTTATTACAAAGATATTTTTAAAAGTCTCCATTTCCAAGCTCTTTTCTTGCATTTTAATAAAAGTATGGCAGATGTTTGAAACTCCCGAAATTTGCAAAATTAAAAATTAGAATGAATTTTCAAAAATGTTCAGCAGATTTATGAAGACAGCAAAATTATAATTAGACAAATATTGAAGTTAGAAGTATTTTTAAACCCTATATTTCATATTTAAACCTCCCATTTTCCTCAATATGACTGCCTTCTCGTGGGTAAATTACAGCTGAAAAATGTATTTAATATAGATCCTGACTTCAATTCAACAACAGAGGTCTAAGTTTCACCCTTACAGAATCAACAAGAGATTTAATTACATATTTACTTGTCACCACGACAAGTTTAGGATGTGAACAATAAAAGTTTAAAATTATGAACATGTTACATAGATAAAGGAAACATTCCAACAAACACAATGTTTTCACGTGAAAACTGACCAGAGCAAACTATTTTATCTGGAAGAATCAGAATCATAAAATGCACCTGAAAGCTCAGGATCTGCAGGCAATAAATGAAATAACTACAATGTTTAAGCCTCTCACCACCAGAGGGATCTTCTGTGGGTTAATTTACTCATTATCTAAAGAATTTGAGTAAAGACTAAAATTCAGAACCGGTTTCAGTAGCAAAACCCTGCCAAGTATCCCAAATACAGAAAGCAATGACTTGATCAGCAAAGTATTTGAAACTACAAATGTGATTAATTAAAAGTAAGAACTTTAGATTTACATATTTACCTCACAACAACAAAAAATAATAATTTGGGTAACTTAAATCTCTCATTTTGGCCTTTTGAATTGTCTAATTTAAAGTTTAAGAAGGGATGAAAAAATACTGCAATTTAGGGGATTAAAACTGAATTTAGTTTATTACATGTCTATTTGTAACTATGTATGAACTCCATATAATTGATACTTGAACTGTCGGTACTTGATGAAACTACATGAGTACAGAATTGAGGAAAAAACAAAGACAAACGTTAAGTTTCATAAACGTTTCATTTATTAACGACCATGGTTTTGCTAGTAACCGCATCTTGAGGTACAAACTATGGTCATTAATAAATAAAGTATTTGTGAAATATACAATAGTCTTTGTTTTTTTCCTCAATTCTATTTTTTATATATATATGAAGCCAATGATAGCCCATGCATTACCAATAGGGTCTTTATCATCAGTTTTGTAACACATACAATTTCTGTAAACTATTTAGGCACAAAATTGCTTATGGGTCCTGGATCACAATTAACATTTGTGCCATTCTAAAAAAATTTTAAAAAAGACATCAGTAAACAAATTACTAGTGGTGTACCTTATTTATTTTAGATAGAAAATAAGAGATTTCACTCATTTTTTTGCTTAGTTCTATATACTGAGTGTTGCAACAGGTAAAAACATAAAATTACTCAATACAATGTAATACATGGACCCCACGTGAATGGTATGAAAACAAGTAATTAATCTGAAGATTAAAGGTAAATACAATCCAGAGAGATGTTTCAGTATTTATAAAAATAACTATCAGCTGTTACAGGTTTCCAACATGATCTAAAACATAGAGTTGTCAAAAGTTTAACACTCATATAATCAGTAAAGATGGCACAGCATCAATAAATTGTGCTGTAACAATCAGTGTAATAGTTTCAAACATATTCAAAACTTGCAGATATATCTTGGAATACAATTTCCCTGGTTTATGTGCCATATAAAAGGTATGATTCAGTATTATCTATGTTCACTCAGTATAAATGTTAATATCCTTAGTTTAAGCACATTTGTTATCTAAGAATCAATCCTAAAAGTAGTATGAAGTTACAATAAAATACTTCAACTTCACAGAGATATAAATTAGATAACTTAGGGGATCTATTCCCCCTTGTGATGTACTCAGACACCTAACTATTTTCTTGTATTATAATTTTACTGTAAGAGAATTGCTTGACCACAATATCCTTATGATAAGTCTGCATCACAGATAAACTTCCTATAGTTTAGTAATATCTGACGAAAATTCTAGAAGTTTTTGTTGGTACTTAACACTTCATCTTTAGCAGAAACAACTAGTATCTTGAAATTAAATAAATTTTATCTGCAAGTTGCCAAATGAATTATATAAGAAGTACTTCTTGTTGGAAGACTATAAATCAGCAAACATGGAAGGCAATAAAATATGATATATAAGACAGAGTATCTATTAAAAAATACCTGTCTGAACTCCATTAATGGGTCTATTACCTTTTACAACTTTCTTGATCTAAAAGGCAACTTTCATAAGTCGAAACAAAAATTTCATGACAAACTGTTCACAAAATAAGAGGTGAAACTGAAAATATTCCCAAAATTCCCACAGTGCACACTTTAAAACAAATGTCAACATGCTGATTCTTCTAACTACTTCAAGAGTCATGTAATAGAACAAATTCACTATACTTATAAAGGACAATTCAACATAGAATCTTAAATTAAAATTTAATGATACAAGATATTATACCCTCAAGAGAGAGAGAAAACTTAAATTAGTGCCGATTGAAAAAAAAAATCTAAAATAATCTACCAAATTAAAATAAATGTAGAGATTTTTTCAGGTTTTAGGCTACCATTCAGTTTTATATCTACAGGAAATTTTCAAATGTTTGTCAATATTTCTTACCTTCTACTGAATTACCACTTTTCCGGGCCTCACTTATCTTCAGTTGTAACATTTGCATTTTGGGAAGGTGGTTGTTCATTTTGGTAGCATTTTGCTGGGCTTTGATTGCCACAGGAAACATCAAGATTCGAACAACTAACGTGGCTTAAAACACAGTGAAGGAAATAATTTAGATTTGAATTTACTTACCAATTAAGTATTATTTTTCAGCTTTTACAGTAAGAAATATTAGTTTTTAGAACAGGTACGAAGTTTCGATCACTAGTGAGATCATTCACAAGCAAACGAGAATGATCGCACCAGTGATCGAAATGTCATACCTAGTCTAAAAACAAATTTTCCTTATTGCAAAAGCTGTAACATGTAATTAAATAGAGAAAAGAAGTTACAATTATTGTGTGCACAGGGAAAAAATGAGCTTAGATCAGCACACCAAATAAATACTTTTACAGGGTTCGAAATTTATTATCTATGTTTGCATTTCACAAGTCAAATACTACCTGATTTAAGTAAAATAAGATACTAATTTGCACTACGTGGAAGTAAATCTTATGGTTAAGATTTTTCAAAATCCACAAAAATGATCAATATATAGCTGCCAAGTCATGAAAGTCATTACCATATATACCACATCTTCTTTCAAGAATTACAACTGATTCACTATCAAGAAATCTTCACTTGATTAGAAATGAATAGACTATCCAAGATACATACCACATGTATGAATGAAAGTACTAACAAGTGACATACCACCAGTATCAATATTTGGGAGAATTCAGGAAATTCATAATATTTGGTTTAAACACTACACTTCTACAGCAAAATAGGCCTAAATAAATAGCTTTTACTGATTGACTGCCATTTGTTGTTTATAATAAGCATGGAATGGTCTTACACTGCTTCTGATTAGTCACTAGTCACATGAGCATCCAATCACACAGCAAGTTTCACATGGTTGAAATCATGTTAACATACATAACTTTGCATTTTATATAAGGACTAGGAAAGTTGTAACTTTCCTATACTGAAAATGTATTTCCAATAGGTATTTACCTCCGCTCACATAAATAGCTATTCTCATGCAGTGCTGCCCTCTATATGCAAAAAATAAAGTTACACATGCCACAAGTCTCTTACCTCCCCTTCATTGGAATTGACTAATTCCAATACGTCTCTCATGCAAATCATCATGCGATAATCTTCCACCAATAAGAGTATGACACTCTCATTACACATGTGACCTCTTCTATTCAATTCTACCTACCTATCACTTTGAGTTTGGCAGAAATTAGAAGCACCAGTGTTCAGTGGGGAGGAAGGGTGAGCAGAGGTAAGTACCTATCAGAAATACATTTACAGTATAGGAAAATTATAACTTCTTGCACAGTACATTACCTCTTCTCACATAAATACCTAGAATCCCACATTGAATAGGTGGAAGGATTGGTGCAAGGGAAAGAAAGAAGCATCTGAAGGACACTCCTTGAGATGAGAGAGTCAGATTCAAAGATCTGATGTGGGAAACTGCACCATTCTGAACCCAGTATACTCTTTGCCAATCTGAGAAAGGTGTCGCACATATGAGCAGAAAAACAGAGGAGCACATCCAAGTGTGAGAGAACTATGGCTGGATAGTGATCCAAACCATGCAATATTTATGAAACTCAATCCCATACAATATAAAAGTGGGTAGAAGCAATGAATATGCCCCTAGGTGTAGAGTGGCTAGGGTGCGACAGACTGTACAAGTCAACTTCATCCAAAACCCATGTTGCTGGGAACCAACATCTATGTGGGGTTAGGATGAGGATCATACTGTCGGTAAGTCAACTACAGTCCAAAACCAAGCCACCAGGTACCAACATCAACGTGGGGGTAGGAAAGAGGATCATACCGCCAGCAAGTCAACTACAATCCAAAACCCAGGACACTGGGAACTCGCATCCATGTGGGGGTAAGAAAGACAATCATACCAATGGCAAGTCAATTACAATCCAAAACGCAACCATCTGGCAGGGGTAGGAAAGAGAATTATACTGTCTTCAACTCAAGTTTAAGAGACTAGAGGGAATCTAGAACCCCCAATTCCTGAACAAGGCATATGTGAATATGATAAATTGATATATCAATCTGAGAACCTGACATCTGGTATTGAAAAGATGTCTACATAATATAAATAAAGTCCCTCATAAACAGAAGGGAAAAAACTGCAACAATCCCTAGTACCTCCAGCATGACCCACAACACTGATGGAGTATAAGTGAGGGGGAATACAGACATCCATAATACATGTGTGAGGATTTATGTTGATTGGTTCTACTCTAAATCCAAAACCCAGCTACTGGGAACCAACTTCCACATGGGGGTAGGATGAGAGATCCCAATCGAAGGGGTGAACAGCTATTTTGATGTCTCACTCCCATTTGTTTTCATATTTCATAGTGGAGGATATCATGTCATCTACACCAGCAGAACACCACCACCCTACTCTCAACTGAATGGTTTTAAAATAATTTCTATATTCTATTTATATTTCATTATCACATTCAGGAGGATGCCTCCACGGTCCACCATCCCAGCAGCTTGGAACTGGAAAGTGGTAAGGACTCTCTAACTCCACTAGAAGAAAAGGAGGTAAAATGTGATGGAGTGGGTCCAGAGGAGCATCAACACTGGAGACAGTGCAATGGGTGACCACAAAACCCTATTTTTAAAAGCAGACCATACCAATTTATTCAATACAAGTCATAGCAGGGATGGGCAGATAGTCCATTGGTGGGTTTGGTCTGGGACAGGTAAACTACCTTATGGACACAGGATGTCAGCTTAAAGTGACCTTAGGAGGTGTTGAAACTGGGAAGGTTTTTGACAATTCTTCTTTTTATGTAGTTATCCATTTTGCACAAAATTCTTACTGGATTCAAATCAATTTGATGGCCAGAAACTCTCATATGAAGAAAGCTGGCATTTTTTTTGCATTTCCATATTTAATGTTTCTGTTAGGTTCAGAAATTCCAGTATCAACACTTTTTCCAGTAGCATCTACTCATCCTTTCTCACGGGATTGGCATGGTATGATATAAATGTCTTGTTTTTATATCTTCAGGTATTGTTCTATTTGAAGTGAGGTTGTTTTTAATGATGTTTGGATATCTGTTAATATAACATGAATAGTGGTGTGGATTATCATTGTACTGACTATTTTCATTTGAATATGTTAATTTAATATTTTCGATAGGTTATGCCATGAAAATTACAAGTGTATCGACCTGTTTTTATTTAGACATGTTTTGTTAATTTGGAAATTTATTATATGGATAAAGAAGGTTAAAGACCCCCCCACCCATTTTTTGTTCCCTGCAAAGTTCTTGACAAGTTGGCACCAATGGCTGTCTGTAATTCTTTGTATGATTCAATCTTTTTCCATAGAGCTTTTCCCTCAACTTGCATATGGTTTTTTGGTTCTCTTCCAACTGCCTCTTTCAGAAAAGGATTTGTATTAGGGAAAAAGGTACAAGGCTTAATGTTAGTCTTGTCATTTAGAGGTAGAGAAAGTTTGTTTTAGTTATATGGTTAGTGCAAATTAACATTTTCTACCACAAGTAAAGTGCTAACTCTTTGTAATAGGTGAAAGTAATATTTTTGCAATTTTTGAACTATGTTGTAGGTTGTAGTATACTTAAATTAGTTAAGTAGATGAAATCTTACAGGTGTAATGCTAGAAAAACAGTTAGGAAAGGAAACAAAATAATTCCCTGTAAAAAAAGAAATCAATTATGTAAAAATAGAGAAAACAAAACTACACCCATACCAACTAACAAAATTACAGAATCAGTGTTGAAGAAGAAAAAAATATTTTGTGCAAACTGTAAAAAGTAATTGAAGTACAAGAAATAAGCGGTGCCCCAAATAAAAAGAGAGTAAAAATCTATTATGTAGAAAAATCAGATGATATTGGAATCCTATATGTAGTTTAATAAAAAATACAAGTTGTGTAAACTAAAATTTGTAAATGATTGTATACTCACAAATTACTATCGATAACCACCAGGGGATGTTTAAGCTGACATGAAGATAGTCAAGACAATGTTGAATGATACCAACTGGTGACCATCCTCCTAATCCAGCATTCAGAAGCTCCGATCCTTTCTCTTCAAGCACATTTTCTACATCAGCATTCAACACAGGTACTTGTGGTGGCTCAGGGATGTAACCAGGCAAAGCCTCAATGCCCTTAGTTAAACAGACACAAGTTAAAGGAGTAAAATATTAATGCTTTAAAACATTCAGATGTACAACATTTACTGCACAAGATCTTCTGGTTTTAGACACTTCCACTGAGTAACTGATATAACGTGAACTCGATTTAAGATATTAAACCCAAAAGTTACTCTAATAACAAACAGAAAAAAGTCACAACTGCCAAATACTTGTTATCAGTGTTTAAATTACATATCAGCTCAAACATGTATTTACAACTGTAGTACATAAAAAACAACAAAATAAACTTCATAACACTGATGTGTGAAAATCTCCAAAAGTCAGACCTATAAAGCTACCTTGTCTAATTTTGTTATGCAAGTTATTTTTTGTACAGCACAAAATTATATATATCAAACAAAAATAATAATAATGTAAGGTGCTTACAAGTTTTGAGCTCTTCCATGAAACACATTATTGAGAATGATTTCTGAATACATAAAATTTAACATGCAGCTTTTAGCTATCCTTTGTCCAGGGTGATATACAACATTGCCATAAAAAGATATACATAGCAAAAACTTTATTGTTATGGTAACAGACACTGAAATAACAGTGTATGCTGAATATGCCTTCCAAATAAATCACTAATAGATCAATTTTACTATTCATTCCAAAAAAGAAAATCCACTTTATATTCAACTAATATTACAACAGTTACAAAAATACAAAACTTGTTGCCAGGTATGTAGCCACTGCAAAACATGTAAGTGGCAGTAGAAACATCTGGATCTTGTCATTTCTAACAAAGTTTATTTTCCCAGAAATTGTACTGCAAATAGACATCTTGTATTATAATCATTACCTCAGAAATATTGAAATTATTGTACCTGTGAAGAACTGTTTGGTACTTCCTCCTGATGATATACCGCTGATGTTGAGAGGCAAGTACTTTGACCTCCAAGTTGAAAATATAGTGGCTGCAAATTCCACTTCTTACGCAACACTAAATTTGAAATTGACGCACCTTTTGATATGCAGACACTGCGTGAATGAGTTTTTGTATGCTGAAGTAGAGAAACATAGCAGCTAGTGTGTGTCTGAAAGAACAAAATTTTTTTTCTAAACGATAAAGTAAAATATCATTTTGTGCAAATCTAATAGAGTATTTAACTGATACTGCTCAGTCAAAGCTTATTGGATTTCTTAACCATTCAATCACATAATATACTAATGTATGTAGTAAACCTGACTACAGATATTCACTATACCAACTTAAGTTTTATAGCTTTACATATAGTTTTTAGTCTAAAACAAGGATCTGTAGCAACTCTAGCTATTCAGGCTCATACAGATACAAATATACAAGTACAATCAAATATAGTTGTGTTCCTGTATTACAAACAACATGTACGCTAATGTATTAACATCTCACAAAACTTTTACTACACATACTTATTTTTTTTAAACACCATTCTTATAGATGATGAAAAGGAACAACTCTTTCAAAGTTCTAGATATAATATAAAGTTATTAAGACTCATCGCAGGGAGTAATTTCTTTCCTTTGTATATATAATTTGGCATACCTTAAGCAGCCAGTTACAATTTTCTACAAGTTAATACAGAATTAGCAAAATTCAGTTGTACAGTCAATCTCAGGATAATAAATGATTACAGGTCAAATCAATATAACCAACATGTATTTTAATCATTTCTCCTAAAATACTCAACCATACCATTATAACATAGCATATGGACAACAAGGGATCATTTACTCCTTAAAGGCTGTCCCTGCATACTCTCCTTTGAGAAAATATAAAAACTTAAACTGATCCTGTATGTGCAATAGTACTGACTTCACTTTTAAACTCCTGTAAAGTATTGGTCTCCACTACTGCTGATGGCAACTCATTTCATAAGTCAATAACACTGTTAGAAAAATAAAATTGTCTTAATTTGAGCTTGGCATATCTTTTCCAGATTAGACTTGTGTCCTTTCATGTTATTTTATTCAGAATTAGCACAAACAAATCATAGGCTTTCCTATCAGTCCCTGAATAATCTTGTAATATTCAATAAGATCACTTCTTGTCCTTGTATTCTCAAGAGAAAACAAGTTAATAGATCTTAACCTATCACCATAAGATAACCCTCTTATCCCAAGAATCAATACAATAGTCCTCCAAAAACATCAATATTGTTTCTTAGATAAGGAGATAAAAACTGCATATAATGTTCAAAGTGAGGTGATTAGTACAGATAAATCAATATATGTATAAATACACCCTAAAATTCCATTAGCTTTGCTACTAGCAACAGAACACTGCCTTTATGGATTTTGAAGCTTTGTCATGATCCTTTTCTTTAGTCACATTATTGAGTGGATTCCCATCTATATTAAACATGATCCAAATTATGATAGCCAAAATGTGCTATCTTGCACATATTGTAATTAAAGGTATTTTGTCAAATATCTGTTCAACTAATCAATTTATCTAAGTAATTGTAGTATCCCAATATTCTCAATACAGATAAAATATCCACAAGTTTAATGTAATCAGCAAACTATACTAATATATTAATTATTTCCTATCAATATTTTTATAAGAAAAAGCCTAAGCATTGACACTTGAGACACTCCACTAAAAACAAGAGCTAGTAACAAAGGTCCAGTTTGACTGGACCCCGTTAATAACCATTCATTTGTTTTCTCTCATGCAACTATCCAACTTACTTGCCTTTCCCCAATCTAAAACAATAGTATTTTCTTACATCTTTTGTGAAACACCTTATAATTTTTTGAAAGACTGTGTACACCAGGTCAACACCTTTCCTACCATCTAGATTGGTGTCTCTCAATACTTTCAATCCAAGGGGCCAGCTCACTGATTCCCTAAACTGTCATGGACCACTTAAATGCAAATACAACAAAAAACCATTACACTTTACATGTGAATATTCTGTCAGTTTATGTGAAATTCCATGAATAGGCAAGGTGGGTGTGATAGATTGGCACTGGTCTGTAGACTAGTGATTGAGAAACCTTTCTTGTAACATGGTTTTTATACTATATAATCATCTATTATGAACTAGGCTAAAAAGAAAAGAAAAATAAAGAAACTGAACTTTAGGCAAAGGGCATTATTGACTGCCATTACATTGCTCTAATCACTAACTTACATTTACTCAAATATTTTACTCTGGATTGTGCCATCACTGTTTAACAATATAAAGATACACCAAAGTACTAAAGATTAGATGCACCCATCAATATAGATCTTAAAAAACATAATTTGAATTGAAACTTTCACACAGGTAATATATATAATAAATGCATATCATAAAGGTGTGCTATTGTATCACCATTAGTATTACACAAAACAATTAAAGGTGACTGTAAAGTGTTCACATGTACCTCAAAATTATAGTCTAATGCATCAGATAAAACATACAATCAGAAGTTCTGCTAAATCTGCATGAACTGTGTAACATATACACTGAGTCCTAGATTGTCAGCAGATAATATTAAATATTTTATTACTTCAGTAGAGAATTTTAATTTCTCCATTTCTTAATATACGTGAATGTCATAATTATAATTACTATCCTCTTCAACAGTTACTGAGTTATTGCAAGTTCCCACTGACATTGTATAAACCATTCACCCACAATGTGTCAAATGTGCAACTAACATAAACATAAGTAATATGTTCAACGCTACTGAATCCTGATAGTGATAAACATTCTCGTTGTCAACGAAACTGTCAAACGAGAAACTTCAAGTTAAACTTAAAATGCATTTCTTCCGATAAAAAGTATGTGTATTATAACGTAACTGTTAAACTTCACTACCTTATTAATATTAGATTAGTACTACTACTCTAATATTTGTTTACAACTACAGTACTAACATGTGTCTGTTACTTTTAGTTTTTACAATGTTACTGTTATTGTTAGTATATTATAAACTAATATATATATATATATAATAATATATACTATAGTCTAGATAGTCGATAAGACTATGAAACATACTATCATTGTCGTTAGGTTTTACCGCATTTATGCATTTTTCATCATTTTTTAATAATATAACTTACATTAAAACGTTTAATTTCTGGATGGTTAAGAAAATTAAGGCATTGAAGTTTCAAAAGGCATGTACGTTTGCTTAAGCATGTTCTTAACAAAACAATACTCGTGCCATTTGCTGCCATGTTCACGACTTCTGTTAGAACCCTCTACTGGGTAAATGTTTAATTGTTAAAACCAACAGCTGATTTATAAATAAAATACTTTTTTAATATACATATTAGTATTGAAATAAGAGAGTTGGTCAAATAAAAAATTGAAAAATATATGAAAAAAGTTTGCTGCAAATTTAAGAATGAACAGAAAGGAGTTTTCAAACACATTAAGGGTAAGAAAAATGTTAGGAAAAGAGTGATACGGGAAGACTAATTTCTGATGGTTAGGATGAATGGGTTATTAAATTAATTTTTCTGAAATTTTTACTAATGAAGATTTAAACAATATTTCCCATCTTGAACAATTGGTAGTTGGAAACAAGACTGAACAAGATGATCACATTAATTTTGAGCATGTTAAGAAAAAACTGTGAAGTTTAAAGAATGATAAAGCTCCTAATCTAGATAATATTTGCCCTAGGGTTTGAAAGAGGTTAAGGATTGTATATGTGAGTTATTTGTTATTAATTTTCAACTCTTAGAATAACGGGCAGGTGCCAGAAGATTGAAAGTTCGCTGATGTTACTCCTCTTTTCAAAGGAGATGAGAAAAACTATCTCATTAATTATAGGCCCATTGGTCTTACATCACTGGTGGAAAAAGTTTTTGAAAGTCCGATAAAAGATGCTTTACAAAATTATGTAACAAAATATAAAATTTTGTTGGATAGTAAGCATAGTTACACTAGGAGAAAATCTTGCGTTACTAATCTTTTGACATTTTATGAAGAGGTTATTGCTTAAATAGATGAGGATACGGGTGTGGATATGGTGTATCTGGATATTAGAAAGTATTTGACAAGGTACCACATAAAAGTTTTGCAAAAATAGTTATAAATATGGAGGATAAGTTGGCTCACTGTATAGAAAAGTGGCTAGATGGAAGAATGAAAAGAGTCGTTATAAATTAAATTCAGTAAATCTGGGTTAATGTTACCAGAGGGGTTCCCCAGGACTCAATGTTAGGATATTTGCTCTTTTTGATTTACATCAATGACATAGAAGAAGAAATAGTTAATAGATTATTTAAATTTGCTGATATTTTAAAGTTTTGAGTGTTGTTTACGGTAAAGATTGTATTACTGCTTTACAAACGGATTTGGATTATTTGATGAGTTTGGCGAATAAATAGCAAATAACTTTTAATTATGAATATAACTTTGATGGGAAAAACCTTAACAGTGTTATAGAAGAATGAGATGTTGGTACGGGAATAAAATATAAACAAAACATTTACACAAGAATAAAGATAAATAATGGTTTGGTGATAGTGATGGTCTTTAATGTAGTTAGGATATTTTCATTTGTTAACTGGCTACTGGAGTATAAATAATAACACAATTTCACCATACAAAAGACAACATCCAGTACAGTATTTTACAATTCTAGGTTAGTTACGTCAAGAATCATTCTCATTTTACATACTAATGAGGAGATTAACTACCAACTCATACTAACTTGTACAAATCTATGCACCACCTTTAAGTTTGGGTATGACACACACCTTAGTGGAATGATGACTGAAGCAAAACCACGTGAGTATAACTTCTATGGAATGGCCACTGCGATGCTCAAAGCGTAGGTTAACAAGAGTTTCCAACTATTTACTTCCTTCTCGTAAGGACACAATCTAAATGCATAAAATATGCACGAAAAAACAAAACAAAAATATATCTTGAAAAATATCTTGAATATGTCTCCCACTTTATATTTTCTATACCTAATGATTAGGGCTACTAGATTCATAATGTGATGGTCGTGGAATCGAATCCCTTCTCCGAACGTGCTCGCCCTTTCAACTGTGGGGACGTTACAATGCGACTGTTTAATCCCATATTAGTCGTAAAAGGTAGCCAAAGAATTGGTGGTGGATGGTTTTGACTAGCTGCCTTCCCTTAAGTCTATCACTTCAGAATTAGGGACAGCTATTGCAGATAGCTCTAGAGCACCTTTGTGCAAAATTCAACAAACAAACAAAACCTGATGCTGATGAGGCATTTTGTCTAATACCGGGGTCACGAGGTCTGCTTGGATATAACAAATATAGTAGTGGTCTAGAAGCTATTTATGTCATTAATTACATGAATAACAACTGTAATGATATGAACTACGTTAAATAAGTGAATTGTAAATATTACTGATTTTATTCAAGTCGTTTAATATTAGACTTTTTAAGATAAGAATTAATAACAACATATCATTTATTTATTTTTAACACCAATTACACAGGCCTGCGATGGTTTTATTGTCTTGAAATTTTTACATGTTTTACGGTAATTCCTGTACACTGAATCCGAAAACGATATCCATTTTTCTCTATCACATACATATTTTTTACAAAACGTCACATGTACTTTTACATAAGTGAATCATTTTCATTGAAATCGGGTCACATTTTGTTATGCTTAAAATGTTGACAACCTGTGGCTATAGAGTTCTCTAGACC